ATGAAGACGACGTGAAGACGACATGAAGACGACATGAAGACGACATGAAGACGAAGATGAAGACGACCTGAGGAAACTTGTTTTTACTTTTTTTACTCTGCGATGACACATTTGAACCTTTTTATAAGAATCTGATGTTTTCTCAGCGTTCAGCGAAGAATTCTTACTTTGAACCAACATTTTACTTTTAACTAATAATCTTGTTTCTTGGTCAGAGTGAAAACCTGAAGTATTATTTTTTGTAACACGACTGAAAGTCAAAGTTTTTGTTCAAGATAAAACTGCACCAAAGCTCAGCAGGTTAAAAAAACCTGTAACTGTAAAGTTTTCAAACTGGAGACGTCATGTTGTGACTCAAAGTCTGAAAGTGAAATAAAAAGACATATTTTTGCTAAATACTGTTTTTGACGCCCTGGTGTGTTTTACTTTCAGAGTTTCACAGTTGAAGAAGAAATACGTGGATTTGTTTTGACTCAAAACAGCAATAGAAAATACTAAAGTACATCAAATCGTCAAGTATCATTCCGTCTTGAGCTCAAGTATCGAGTAGATAGTGGATTAGTATGGGTGGGTTTTATGACCTACACTGCAACCAGCCAACAGAGGGAGATCCAGATGTTTCCTGTGGTCCATCTTTAGCTACATTCATTGGTTTGGTTTGTCCGTTGTGCACGTCCTCAAAAAGATGCAATATGCTCACGGACATTAGGGGGCAGTGTAGAGCAGAGAGGTTGGCCGCAGTGAAACCACAGATCAGGTGTGAAACATCCACCAATCATCAGTCGCCTGAACGGGACACAGGAATTGACTGATTCACATGAAATAATAATGTTAGCATGTTTATTGTTTATCATTCATTAGCTCTGTGGGGCCCTCTAGAGGAATCCTCCAGTAACACAGGTATGTCACAATGGAGCGTTGACCTGAACACAAGGTTAAAATTTGTTGAAGCAGGAGAGACGCAGCGTCCTGTGAGGACGCAGCGTCCTGTGAGGACGCAGCAGGTGGCGTCCTCACAGAAGGTGAATCGGTGATGAACTGTACTTACGGCTCAGAGAAACAAGGATTTCTCACAGCTGGCTCGTCTCCACACGACTCAGAGACTTAATCTGCAGGACTGAAGAGAAGGATCTGGAAGGAGGAGGAAACAAGTCCAGAGGCATGCTGGGAAACTATAGTCCTACTGATGTTAAGGTGAAAAGACAACTACAAATCCCAGAAAGCATTGCTGTATATAACCATATATGGGTGGGGCCAGAGGTTTCTTGGTCCCAAAAGGTTGAAGATGAAAGATTCTCAGTCTACGTCCTGACGGACAATGATCATCAGCATCAAACCACCGTGTCGTCACCCAGTGGGTTGTGAGTTGCTGTTCCGAAGCCTCCGTTTGACATTTTGTCCATCTTGGTTTTCTGGAACCACAAATAACCATTTGACCGAGAGCTGGAGGACACGCCCACCTACACCTGCACCCATTGGAAGGTACCAGCTGTCAATCACACTGTGGTATCCACGCCCCCAACTGCATGAAGATCAGATGTTTGAAGACTTGAGACGAGAGAATGAGACAAAAACTCCTGAGGACAAAGTTTACTGACGTTATAAAGTGAGAAGAGTCATTTTCTATAGAAACTACCAGAGGAGTCGCCCCCTGGATGCAGAGTCTGTTATAAACCTGTGAGCAGCTGGACTGATGTCATCAGGTATCTTGGTTGACGTAAACAACGTAAACATAGATGTGTCCGCAGCGTTCGGCCGAACATCAGCTGGAAACATTTTAGCAGCTGATCCATTTCTCAGCACCGAGCTCAGAAACATGAGGTCAGTTGTTGAGGTCAGTTGTTGGACTCTGCTCCTCCTCCATCACTGTGGGGACATTGAAGTGACTTGTTAAGCTGTGATTTATCTGCTGGCAGGACGAGCTGCACATTAACACACTCCCACATTGTTTCTCAGTAAAGCTGCTGATGCTCAGTTCTGGCTCCGATTGGAGGCGTCAGGAGGATTCAGGGTCACGTCCGAGTCCGACTCCATGATATTTGTGGGAATAACAGTACTGAACAGTGCGGGGGTCATAGTTTAAAAAGCACCTGTTCACCTGTGTGAGTTTGTGTATCGTCCAATAAGTTGAGCTTATTTTCTTTGATAAACGTTTAAACTCATTTATACGTATTGAAGTGATTTGTTTGGATCAGCGTGTCACTCATGTCATTAGAGGCTCTACCTCAACCTCTCAGCGACACGTTTGACGTGTCATGACGTCATTTACAGTCAGAGTCTGAGATGTAGTGATCGTAGAGTGGAGCCGTGGTATCGAGGTCCAGTTGTAACATGTTGGATTTTTTTGTTTGGTCTATGTACCGTCTGCTAACGTGGAGGAGTTTATGACCTATACTGCACTCAGCCACCAGGGGACGATCCAGATGACTTGGCTGTACAAGCTCTTTCTTTATTTTCAGTCTGTGATGGAGACAGAAACACAAACCTCATTAAAAGCTGAACATTCTCAGTATTTTGGTGTGAAAGTGAGGAACGTCTCTGTCGGACCCAGGTGAGTTATATAACCATCTTGGTTCCAGGGCCGGCAGGTAAAGCCTCTTGAGGCCTCTGGCAGCGGCGTCCTCCAGCAGAGCGGCCTGATCTCATTAGGTTGTTTATTTTCGGTGCTTCTTTGATTCTTCCTCCAGGTCCTAAGAGGGTTAGAGAGTCCTGAGGTTTGCTCTCAGTCTGCAGAGTCACTGCAGCCTGGATGTGGGCCGGCCTGCTGCTGAAGACTGCTGGCCTCGCCGCCGACGCTGCAGATATTTCACCCTGTCCCTCGCCTCTGTTCCTGCTGAGGACAGTAGACTACAAGCTCTGATCATCTTCTTCCATCACTGACGATCTATGGACGGCGACTTTTCTTCTCTGTTTCATTTCTGAGACCTCGTGTCCGTCCTCTCAAAGTGACTCTTCTGTGGGTTTGTCCGTCTTCGCCTTGGTTGCACCCGTCGGACCACACCCATGGGGAACCACGGCTCGAACCTGGAAGACATCCTGGCAGAGGACATGCACCACTGGTACAACAAGTTCATGCGAGAGTCTCCGTCAGGCCTCATCACGCTGTTCGAGCTGAAGGCCATTCTGGGCTTGAAGGGCATGAATGAGGACGCCAACGGCTACGTGGACCAGGTGTTCTACACCTTCGACATGGATGGGGTGCGACACACACACACACACACACACACACACACACACACACACACACACACACACACACACACACACACAGTCAAAACTGTCCTTTAATCTGCTCTGTTGCGTCATGATTGTGTGTGTGTGTGTGTGTGTGTGTGTGTGTGTTTGTGTGTGTTTGTGTGTGAAAAAACACATTCAATTAACACAAAAATAAATTGATGAAAACTTAACAACACGTATAAATTGTACAAAGCGACAACAAACCTTCGTCCTTCATATTAGTTTAAAAATCACCTGAGTCATAGTTTGGAGACAGAAAGTGAAAAATATCATCCATAACTTTTACGGTGAGATGAGAAACGTGACATGATGATGTGCTGACGGAGCTCTGACCTCTGACCCAGCTTCACCTCCGTCTCTGAACTGAGGTGAAGCTGGGTCACCAGCTCCATGTCCAGGGCTGCACCAAAGCTCAGGGGCCACCGGGGGCCCCACTCGCACTAAAACAATTCATAAACCCATCGTAATGTTTGCAATGCGACGGTTTAACTAATTAATCAACTGAACTGTTTCACCTTTTAAACATTTAAACTTCTCATGGTTTTCACATGTGAACCGATAAAGACGGTGACACGTGACTGAAGACGTTAAAAAGAAGTAAACCAAACTACAAATATCTCAAAAACCTTTATGCTGACATTCTGTGCTTTTATTTTGAAGGTTAGGAAGATGAGGAACTAGAGCCGGGATCAAGTCCTGCGACATCTGCAGATTTAGATTTGAACGTTTTAATGTTTTAAATTCTGTAGAGTCAGAGATCATCAGTACGATGGCTCTGAAGGAAACACCTCATCATAAAACACGTTTCATCAGCGTTTCTCTTCTGTTGTGATTTGTTGTGTTCACCTTCACGCTGCTCAGACACTCATCGTCTCGTTCACATTTACCTTCAGTTGTTGCGATAAAGGTTTTTCACTCAAAGTGATGTGTTGGTTATTTGAATGAGGATTGAATTTAGGATTTTTGAGAAAAATTAATGAAACCTTGATCACGAGTGTAACCTCCGTCCTTTGTTTTCTACAGGACGGCTACATAGACTTCGTGGAATATATCGCCGCCATCAGTCTGATGCTGAAAGGAGAAATCAACCAGAAACTAAAGTGGTACTTCAAACTGTTTGACCAGGACGGCAACGGAAAGATCGACAAGGACGAACTGGAGACCATCTTCTCGGTAAAGAGGCTCGGAGCAAAACGCACTAACGAGAACAGGGTCCAATTAAAGTTGATGTTGTAAAAACAGTCGCAGCAACAAACTGTACAAATATAAATGAATGAGAACGATATTTCCAAAATCTGGAAATCTAGTCTAGAAAATAAATTGTTAATCTGTTACATCATGTTTTAACATTAATGTCAGTAATAAAACAAGAGACAATCAATTCACTTCAGCTAATTCTTTGTTCATAGGTATTATATAGATATTCAAGTTGTCAAAGAGGAGTTGTCAGTAATAGTGGAATATGTGAATCAGTATATTTTTAATTTTTTACATCCACTGTCTCACCACAGCCTCTGAGCTGGACTCAGGTCTGGTCTCGGACCTGTTCAAACCCGTCAATCTATTTCTTCTCATTTATTCCATTCAGAGGTGGATTTACTTTGTTCGGATCATTGTCCTGCTGCGTAACTCAGCTGCTCTTGAGCTTCAGGTCCTGAGCTGATGTTCAGACGTTCTCCTTCAGGATGTTCTCGTTAAGAGCAGAACTCATGGTTCCATCAGTGATGGCCGTGTTGGACTGTTGGTAGGATGTTCTTGTTGTGGAACATTATGTTCACACCAGATGTAACGGGACCTTTGTCTTCTTCGTTGAAAGTCTTGTGGGTCATTCAGATGTTTTTTAATATGCGACCAGCCATTGTGTCGTATTTGTTCAAATTTCCCATGATGCCTTCAGACCGATGTCTTTCTCCTTGTGGAATCTTCACCAGTACTTTAGCTGTTCACCTGGGTTTTCATTTGTTCCCTTGTTTCACCACTGTTCTCTCTATTTGTAGAAAATGGTTCTCACTTAGGTTCCCAGAGACTCAGCGGTGGCTTTGTGATCCTGTCCAATGACTTTGTGTCACATTTGCTCTGAATTCCTTGAGTTGGCAGCATCACGTGATGCTTTTCTAGACCTTTAATCTACTTCACACCGTCTGGTTGCTGTGTTTGGATCGAACAGGTCTCAGTGATCCAGCCTGGGTGTCACACTGAAGCCAATTATCAGTTCAATTTGGTGGTTTGGTTGATTTCCAAACTGAACGGGAAATTACTTTTTCATAGCACTGCACCTTTCTGGTTCTAGGGAGGTGGCCAATCAGATCATAGGGACCCCTCTGGGCCCGTCCTTCTGTCCACCTCCTCTGAGTGAACCCGCGCTGAATCAGCAGTGATGACTTTGCTCCGACAGAAAACTGGGCTGGATTAACTCTGAAATTAGGTGAGCGCTAATCTACTGAATGAGCTCAGGAAGTGGTCAAAGACTCCAACCCTGAGGAGGACGTCATCCCAGTCTGAAAGCCACAGTCCAGTCTGAAGATCAAGGTCCAGTCTCAGGACGAAATTAGTAAAGTGCTAATCTGCTGAACGAGCTCCAACCCAGAGGAGGACGTCATCTTAGTCTGAAAACTAGAGTCCAGTCTGAGGACAAGGGTCCAGACTTGGTCAACTTCTCTCTTTCCTTAATCCAATAGAACGTCAAAATGATCCACTGAACCCAACTCATCAAATTAATTAATTAATAAAAGTTGTTTTAAACCTTGACACCATTTGAACCTGACTATTGATCATCTGTTGTTTGTGTGTCTCCCCCTGCAGGCCATTCAGGACATCACACGGAACAGAGATATTGACCCAGAAGAGATCGTCGCACTCATATTTGAGAGGATAGACGTGAAAGGAGAAGGTAAAGAAATCCCAGTCAACTAAACATGTACAAATTTAACTCACCCATTAAAACCTCTGTCTTCCACCTCTGACCAGGTGAGTTGACACTTGAGGAGTTCATCGAAGGAGCCAGAGACCACGAGGACATCATGGACATGCTGAAGAACCTGATGGACCTGACGCCAGTGTTAGTCATCATCGTGGAGGGGCGGGCGGGATGAGAGCGCAGAGCCGGAGCTGCAGAAGGACCACAAAGACTGAAGCAGAACCCCCAATCCAAAAGAGATCAATCCACCCTCACCCCTTCAAGAAGAGAAAGACTTGTTCTACCCTTTCTGCTGTTTGCTGGTCTGGACGACGCAGCGACAATCAACAGGTGCTGAAAATATCAAACATTTCGATGGCCTGCAATTGGCCGTCCAGACTCCGCACATCCAACTGCCCCTTATCCATCTTGTCTCCAGGTGTCAGGTTGAAAAGGGAACAAAGATATCCACAGACTGTCAGTGATCTGTCTTTCAGCTCACAGGTCAGTTCCCTTCAAATTCAGTCAAACACAAAATACTTTTGAGTCCTTGTGGTTTTTAAAGATTCCAGATGTGTCCAGTGTCAAACTGTTCTGAGTGCGAACAACACCAAGAATCCCAAACTGTCAAAAATGGTCCAAATTACTACAAATTGAAATCAAACCATTTCTCAGATTAGATTCTGATTCTTTGAAATAAAGGTCCAGTGTGTAGAATTTAGTGACATCTAGTGTTGAAGTTTCGTGTTGCAGCTGAACACCCCCCCACCCCCTCCCCTTCCAAAAGTGAAGAAGAACCTGTGAAGCCTTTAGTCGTCATAAAAACTCAAAAGGTTTTAGTTTGTTCAGTCTGGACTAATGTAAAAAACATGGCGGCCTCCGTAGAGACGGTCCCCCTCCATGTAAATATAAAGTATTTAAATATAAAGTATTTAAATATAAAGGATATTTTCTGGGGTAAAGAAAACTACAATTCATATAATTTAGATGAAATGAAGTAGTGAAATCATCATGAGGATTATTCTAGATTAAATTTCTGCCAATAGAAACTTAAATCTTACACACTGGAGCTTTAATGAAACCAGACTTCATTCATACATTATCAAATTTGCCAATCTGAACTTTTGTTTTTCGACAGCTTGTGTACAAACTTTTAACATTTGAGAATTTTTGTTTTGTAGAAGAACGTGTTCTTATTCCTCAAACTAATCGCACAGAAACTCCAACATCCAGCACCGAGACCCAGCGCAAGTCTTCAGCCTGGATTTTAGAGAAAACCGTTTAAAAAGGAGCTAATTGTACTATCGCTATGTCGCTACATTAGCATTAGCAGCGTTCTACATACAAATCTTTCAGAATCAAACATTCCAATTTCTGTCTCTGGATATAAAACAGCATCAAGCTGTTCTTTCTGTTTCTATCACTTAGCTGTAAAAACAAAGTGTCTCAATGTGTCAAGCTCCGACTGTGTCGTCCCACTGGATATTACCCATGATCCTCTGCTTCCTGACCCAGAAGAGCTGCTGCTGTAACAAACTGTTCCGAGTTCTTCATGTTTTAAAGTTTCTGCTGAACATTGGAGATAAACTCTGGTTGTTAATAACTGATCTCAGATCAGCTTCACTCTTCCACTGGAGCTGACGGAGACTCTGTCACTTCTTCTGTTCTCACACAGACCAGATCTCAAAATTCTGTGTGTTTCATTTGTGAGAGATGTTGGTGTTGCTCACAGTGCAGAGCAGAGCATGCTGGGAGTCTGTCCTGATCCTCTTAATGCTGTAACAGGTTCAGCAGCCTGAGCCGTAATGGAGCAGATTTACACAGTTTCAGCTCCGCCAGGTTTATAACTAAAGACGGAGCAGCAGCTGCCTGCAGGAGGAAAAAACCCAAAACAAAATCAAACTGTAGAACTTCCATTTTATAATATTTAATATATTTAAAACACATAGTGAGAAAATTCACTTTTCATCTCTGGTTTCCAGAGCAGCGAAGTCAAGGGGAGAATAATCCTCAACCACCTGCTCTGGAACCAGGCCACACCAGGCCACCAGGGGAGCTCTTACAAAGAAGAAGAGTTTTAAAGTAACATCACCAAACCTAACTAAGATTTTCAGGTTAAAACTGAAGTTAAAATTCTACTTAAATCCTCTTCGTGAATTCCACCAACCAGCAGCTCATAAGTGTTGGAGGAGACTCCGCTGGCTGCCTTGTTTCCATCCAGGCCAACAAATAGAACTGTCATCTGTTGGATTCTAAGTTTGGGTGACTGGTCTCTGATTCTAAAGTTAAAGGTTTTATACGATGACGAGGGAGACAGTATTGGGACGATGGAGCGGAGTGTGTGAACGTCTGTGGAGCAAACCTTCGATTATGAACTCGCACTTGATGGAACACGTGAGGAAAAGAGACAAGGCCACTTTTTCTTTAAAGCTGCTAACTGACAATAGTTACAGTCAATCTGAGCATGATGGTAAATAAAGACAATCAATGACCCAAAGTAAAGATGGACGACACACCTTCACTTCCTCTCACCATCTCACCATCTCTGTGCAGCCGTGATTAAACATCTACTTTGACTTTTAGTTTGGTCCCATCTGCCAAAATGGAGGAGAGGTTATAACCGTTACTGCAGCCGGACACCAGGGGGTGATCAAGATACTTTGGCTTCACTTTTTTTAGGAACCTATATGTCGTCCATCTCATTTACACTCTGCTTCTGACCTGCAGGTTAGCATCAAAGCTAACAGTTCTTATTGTGCAATAGTTTATTCTAACTGATCATGTCTTGTGTTGCCTTATCAATAAAGTTTTTAAACCAACTGTGTCTGTAATTTGAACTTTGATTGGAGACCTCAAACTAAAACAAACCATCAGACTCAAACACGTCATCGGATGCTAGTGACCGAACAGCTAACGGCTGAGGACGTTACAGTAAAAATCATCACAAGCATAAACGTGACAGTTTTCTTCTTTATTTGAAAATATAGAAAAAGATCATATATAGAGATCTTCATCATCTTCATCATCATCAGTGTTTCAGTTCCTCTTTTGTTCACGTTTCATTCACTCGATGTGATGTCACAGTTTGTACAGATGATGTCACCGACCTCCGACCAGCTTCAGTTAGTTACTGACTGTATCCTCATCCAGTCACGTATCATCCACACGGGGGCGACAGACCTCTAATATTGATTGTCAGCTGATACAGACCGGATCGATCCAGACACTGAAGAGTCAGAGCTGATCTGTTGAAGTGATCCTCTGGAGAGAAGATGTCTCTGTCATGTCTGTGTGGTTTCGTTGGGAGTTAACGAGTTTCAGCTGATGTGACGTTTGTTACTCAAACCAATGACGGCGTCTTTGAGGAAGTTTGGTCAAAAATCCAGAGGAAGAAACAGTTGTTGTGTTTTTGTAAAGACGAGCGTCGTCGTGTTGGGGATCTAACCTGCAACCTCTCGGGTAAACGACGGCGTCTCAGAATTGTTTGGACTTCTCCCGCCTCAGCAGACTGACGTACAGACGCAGGAAGGAGTAACAGACGCCCACGGAGCAGTACACCGAGGTCACCAGCAGGGGGAGAAAGGGCAGCTTCTGGTGCCACGGTGACAGAGGGAAGATGACTTCACAGAAGATTGCCACGGCAACCAGACCAAGCAAGTAGACAACCTCCAGGGGGCGCAGCACAGAGCCCTGACCACTGAGAGGACGAATCAGGAAGTAATCTGATTACTGAAGGAGATCAACAATGGAATCTGTGACATCAGAACTGATACTGAATCAATATCTGATCGGTAAGAGTGTGTGTGTGTGTGTGTGTGAGAGTGTGTGTGTGTGTGTGTGTGTGTGTGTGAGAGTGTGTGTGTGTGTGTGTGTGTGTGTGTGGGAGTGTGTGTGTGTGTGTGTGTCTGTGTGTGTGTGTGTGTGTGTGTACCTGTGCAGTTTCCTCAGAGCAGTGAAAGAGTAAATGGTAAAAATCAGCATCAGTACGACTTTGATTGGCAGCTCTGAAACAGGAAGTGACATCAGTTTGATCAGAGTCGGATAAAAAAGAAAGAGGAAACAGTGTCACCTGACACAACAGAACAAACACACAACCAACACACAACAAACAAAACAAACACACAACAAACACACAACAAACAAAACAAACACACATTCTGACAGAGCTGAAATATTCAGGTTAGAAAATGTATCTCAAAACTAAATGGAGTTGAAGCGGCGGTGCGACCCACGTGGCGGCAGCGTTTACCTGCGGGGGTGAAGAGCAAGGGGAACAGCGAGTAATGACCTGTGGTCGTCAGAACCAGGAAGATCCCAGCATCCTCTCTGCTCTCAACCGCCAGGATGCTAGGGAGGAAAAAAAAAGAAATATGTTAAACGAAGGTCGAGACATCGATGACGTCATTTCTGTTTTTAAGTAGGTGGGGATTTTAAAGCTAATTCACAGGAAACTGTTTCTGTTTGTTAAGTTTGCTGATTTCTTTGCACTTAATAAAAATAAAACTACAGCAGTGAAACATCTCAGGCGATGAGTCGGCGGCCGACCTCAGAGGCAGGATAGCGATGAGGACAGCCTTCTCGTGGACGTGCCAGCCAAACATGAAGGAGCTCAGAGCACAGAGCAGCAGACAGCGCAGAAAACCTCGAGCACCACGAGGACGCCGCCAGATGGACGCTGCCGCCGGCTTCACAGATGCAGAGGACAGAATAAAAAGATTTGTTAATATTAAAAGAAAACTTTGTTTTAAATCCCGTCTCACTTCATTTGTTCTGACGCACCAGGATGGAGAGCAGAGTGCAGACAAGCGTGACGGAGGGAGAGATGGAGGGAAGGATCGAGTGTTGAAACTCCTGAACCAGTCCGCCCGTCATGGAGGCTCGAGGAAGCTGCGTCTCGTCCAGCAGCTTCAGACGAACGCCTGAAAACAAACATCTTCTTCAAAAACATCACACTCAACAAATCCTTTACTTCCTCCTGAGTTTTAAATCCCCGGTGAAACACACGTCGATGATTGTGCTCCAGCGCCCCCTGTGGCAGAATTGACAGTAAAAAGCGGCTCAACATGATGTCACGACGTTTCGTCTTCGTCTGTGGATCGAATCCATGAACTGGACAGTGTCGGTCCATGTGCACCCGAACTGTCAGAATTTATATTCATGGGGAGAAAAGATTTGTGACGCAGAATCAAGTGCCCTGAAGGACGAGCCATCAAACAGTGTGAAGAGAAACTAAAGAGATCGAACCAATCAGACAGGAAGTTGTGAGGAGGTGGAGTCTCACCGAGGGTCGCCAGGCTTTTATCCAGCACGTTGTAGAGGGCCCAGACGTTCGGGGCCCAGTAGGCGTGACAGAGGCCCCGCTTGAAGGGGAAGAGACGAGACAGGACCTGCGGCAGCTGACCCTGTAACGACAACAAACTCTGTCACATCCACGAACTTCCTGTAAAACTTTAGTCGACAAAGTGAAAAGTTCTAGAGGGCAGCGCTTTGTCTGTGAGGTATCAACATGTGGACAGTGAAATTTCTTGGTGTTCTCGCTTGAACTACTGGCTACACTGCCCCCGCATGAATTCTGGTGGTACTGCTCCACCTTGTCTTTTCGTAGAAGACGAACACAGATGAAATGAATGCAGAGCACGAAGAGGCAGCGAGACCTGTGAGACTCTCACCATCATAATGAACGGACCGAAGGACAGAGCGCAGACACTCGCAACGATGGTGCCCAGACCAATCAGACGCAGTGGACTGAAACTGGTCCACCTCACAGAACCGTCTGAAAAACAACAAAACACAGTTTAGTTTGACTGAACGAGTGAGTGACATTTACTAAGACGAACTTCTGTTTATCAGTCTGTTCATTCTGAGTCGCTCTTTATCGTCCTTTTTGTACACTGATAATAAAAATGGACGACATGACAGCTCCAGGAAGTGAAGCCAAATTATTGCCCCTGATGTCTGGCTGCAGTAAAGGTCATAAATCTCCATGTTAGCAGATGGGACATGGACCAAACTCTAAGTAGTAGAAGAAGACGTTAAAAAAAACATTTGTCAAAGATGTTTCTCTTGTTTCGGGTCGTTCTTCTCTCTGATGTTTGTTTCTGATCAGTTTGGTTTAATTAGTTATTTATGATATAAAAACAGGCGGGGATGTGATGATTGACAGCTGAGACTGACTCAGGATTGGTTGAACATGTGTATCACTACTACTCTGAGTCTAAATGGCGTCATCACCACTAGACGGCAGTGTTGGTATCCAGAGAAGTGTTGTCCGTCTTTACTTACAGTCTAACATTCAGTGGAGTGTGTCTGTGTGTGTCTGTGAGTGTGAGTTAGTGTCTGTGTGAGTGTGTCTGTGAGTGTGAGTTAGTGTCTGTGTGAGTGTGTGTKWGTGTCTGTGAGTGTGTGAGTGTGTGTCTGAGTGTGAGTGTGTGTCGTACCTTTGTTGTCCTCAGTGAAGCAGTAACTCCTCAGCAGGAAGATGCCGTATGCCGGAGCCACATACAGGTAGATGTGCTTCAGGTTGAGCAGGATGGAGAACAGCAGCGCCCCCTGCAGGTGCTTAGACTTGTGCAACAAAAAAACAACACAAAGTGAAATAATGATTTTTAAGTAACAAACTATTAAAGATGGAAGTGACAGAAAACCATGAACAGTGTTTGTTAGCGTGACGTTCAGACCTTCAGGTGTTTTGCCAACGACAGCAGCAGGAAACCAAACAAGAAGCCGTTATACTGGAAGTGAACGTCTGAGAGACAACGTCAAAGAAGTTTCCTTATAGTTGTCATGACGACAGAGTGTGAGGTCAAAGTCTCACTTCTACAAACTGATGTGACGATGGAAAATGAAAAAACTGAGAAACACAAAAACACACGCACACATTTAGAATAACCTCATGAATCATGTGGCGAGCTGCAGCATCTGAGCTGAAGGATACGGTCGACGATGAGGAGGCCGAAGTTGAAGAGCAGCAAAACGGCGAGGACGAAGGACGGACGGGTCAGAACGTCCCGAGAGCCTTTCTGCTCCTGAACGCACCTGCAGCACCTGGACGATGACACAGCCGAGCAGAATCAATTTTACCGTTTATTCTACTCAAGCCAAATCCTCTAGATCGCCCCCTGGTGGCTGACTACAGAACAGGTCAAATACTGTTCCATGTTAGCATATGGGACACGGACAAATGGACATTAATAAATGTTTCTCCAAGATGGTTTCTGTCATTTTAGGTATCATTGGACTGACAGCTGAGACTGACTCCTGATTGGTTAAGCACATGTATGGGTGGGACCCAGAGATGATGTCATGTCACTCACTCTCTGGCACCGAAGATAAAAACCAGGTCTGTGAAAATAACCGACAGCCTCTGAAAGAGAACCGTGGACGAGCTGGCGTAGTTCAGATTCTCCACCCGCAGCATATTTCTGTCAAAGTGCTGAGCCACGTGCGAGAGGCTGAACTCGAACCAGGCGAACAGTGGGGGGTAGTCCAGGGTCCACTCGGACGAGTTCTGCAAAACACAACGAAACATAAATCATGACTGACGACAACGAGGAGAGACGCTGATGTTTGAGTGGATCACTGACCTCATGGTACCACCTGGACACAGGGAGACTGTGTGTGATCGCCAACCAGTTCCTGTGCACCTCAAAGTCTGTGGAATGACTGACACACACACAGACACACACACA